TGATAAAGAAAGATCAATACAGATTTTTACAGATTGTATGCGGAAATAGACAAGGTAAAGATAACCTATCTAAAACAATCTAAGTTTACATACAGATATTCTTAGCAAAGAGAAAAGATTTGATGAAATATAAAGAAGGAAATAAGTTCTTCTTAGGTAAGAACTTTTAGAATACTTGAGAGGGATTCTAACTTGCTTGAAGATAAGCATAAGTGTTCTTTTAGATGTGTGTGTGTGTGTGTGTGTGTTCTCATGTCTCTACATGGAGAGAGCACTCATCTATTTATACACATTACATTAAATGCACATTTAATGCAATTCAGTAAGGTTTGAACAAGCGTCAATCTTTTAAAGGAAAGTTTGTCTATTGCTACAGTGAATAGTACAAATGTCTATTCATGAGCAGACATCCTTTCGTGGAGTTGGTGGGTAATAGAGTCAACTAGTCGGCTTCGTACCGTACTATACTCTAGAAAGGTTATGGGTTTGTCCTTTGTGTATGGAAGGACAAGACAAAAACAATCTTGCACAACAAGTTTCTTTTGATCGCTGAATGCTAGAATAACACTGAAGGCCTCTTCAACATTTGCATTTGATCACTCTTATATACATATATATATATATATACACATACATACATACATACATACATACATACATACATACATACATACATACATACATACATACATACATACATACATACATACATACATATATATAGGGGAGCGATCAAATGCAAACCACTCAATTTGTACAAACCGTGCAAACCTCATTCAACCAATCATAATTTTTYATTTTGTTCATTTTTTTGTAATTATAAGAGGTTGATTAATCATTTTTATTGTGGAGGGTGTTAATCATAGATATTATCATCTCCATTATTTTAATTTTTTGAGAAATACATGAAACAGTTTCATTAATTTTAGAGAAATACATGAAACAGTTTCATTAAATATTATATGAAACAATTTCACAACCATATATGAAACAACTTGATCAAAAAAAATATTATATGAAACAATTTAACAAGATTAAACAATTTCATAAAAAAATTTCATAAGATTAAACAATGAAATCGACGGATGAAGATGGTTTGCACGGTTTACACAAATGAGGGCGGTTTTTATTTGATCACTCCTCTACATACATACATACATACATACATATACATATATAGATATATATATATATATATATATATTATACGGTAAATGCTCACACACTCTCCAAATGACGCTGCTAAGTTTTGGGTATCAGTTAGCTTATTGGGATTATGTTTTGCAACCATGCTCCAATAATTGTCAAGTTGTCGGAGGCATCTGTCGGTGGTTGTGATGGTTATGATAACAGACTTAAAGATAGATCTCGCTGAGTCGTGCTGTCTTTTAAAGTTTTTAATGAGCGTTTCTAATAACAGTTTTACATTCTCTATGAAAAGGGAACGTTACCCTAGATTGATAATTCGATTGTGATTTTTTTTCATTTAGAATACATGCAAAACATGTGAAGGATATCTGTTAACAATGATAGACCAGTTACGTGTTTGTGCAGTACAATGAGATGTAAACTTTTATCGTAAAGTAAGATATAAAAAATTAATATCATTTCTGATTTCAAAAGAAATTTTCAAAATTTATTAAGTATTTTATTAGTATGGCTCAATGTATCTCTTGAGTTATAATGTGTGTATTAATTAGTTTATGGAATTTAAACATGGAGTTTTAAAAAGTTGTTCGTATCAGTTATAACTTGTAAACTAGTATTTTAAGAGATTATGTCTTAGTTGGTAAGAGTTTTTACCAGATGAGTATAATATATTAATATAGTATAAATTAATGGACTAAAACACTACAAACTACTTAATTTTGGACTAAAAAATGTTTAAGATAGAATCTTTAAACTAAAATTACACAATAAACATAAATGGAGGGTGACTTTTGTAATGTACTCTAAAACTAAAACATTATCTAGCGGTGCAAGAATTTCCATAAATCACCATCAAATTATCTCCCAATCAAAGGTCTTTATCAAATTGAAACACATTTTCCATGAAATTATCTTGTCATTTACAAAGAGCAATGATGTCAACTTTTAAAAGATGGAAAATTACATAAAAATAAAATAAAAATATAATAACCACAGGACCTGATGTTCGATTGGTTCGTGTTTGGTCTCTAAAAGTCTAAAATACTTTAAGGTTCTAGGTTCAAATCCAAAAAGAATAAAAATTATTTTATGACTATGGAAGTTCAAATGCGATGACTACAAACTACCCGCAAAGTGGGTGATCGCTCTTAAATTAATCGGTTCACATCACGAGTTGGATATTCATGTTAATAAAAAAATACAATTTATTTTATTATTTAAAAAAAGAAAATTCACTTAAAAAATATATATTACAATATTGTGAACAAAAAGTTAAGTGTAATATAACTTCGTAAAAAAAATATTTAAGAAATTTATTGAATTTTACATTTAATACATGAGTATTTTATACAAAGCATATATGCCAAACCAGTACTTATTTTAGTGTAGGGAGCTTCTCCATTAGCATATGGACCATGAATTAATTCACTCAAAATATTTATACTAATTAAATATTTGTATGAGAAAATTACCATCTATTCATATGGTTGTTGTTTATAACAACATTTGTCCCCGAATTTTAAAAATTGCTTTTTCCATTACGTTGATTTTTGTTTTTTTTTCCTTTTTCGTCCCTGTGGCCAATGGCCGCCTCCAACGATCTCCACTATCTGCCATTGACACTCTCTTCTCCGTTGCTACCACCATCACAACCACCTCCAAGCACTATCACATTCCCTTATCACCGTCATGCACAAGATCTCCTTCACCAACTTGTCTTCTCTCTCCCTCTCTTAGCTCTCTTTTGATTTGTCTTTTTCCCCTTGTCTCCGACCCCAAATCGCACCACTCCAATCTCGATGTTTGTTTTTGGTTTTGTTTATTGATTTTGTTTTTGGTTATTAATATTCAACCCTTCCGGGTTTTTTTGTAGGGACGGGTTACAATGGTAGTAGTGATGGTGTTCCTGATGTAAGTTCTAGCGAAAGTGGAAATAGGAGAAGGTTTACAAATGATTACAGTTATGTAACATGGTCAACAGAAGGAATTAGGGTTAGGAGAACAAGGGGATGGTGATTCCTTTTATAGAAACATGTATTTGGGAAAGACAATGCTAGTAAGAATCAAAGATCGACTTATAGTGATTTAGAATCAATAAGTTACGAAATAGGTAGCTTAGAAATGACAATTGAGAAGAAACCAAACCAATTACTACATGATAATGTGGCATCAAGATTCCAAGTTCGTATATATTTTAGGTTTTTTTAGTGTTCTTTAGCTGTTATTTAATAAATCAAAATGCCCTAATTTTGGACTGAATGTTTGTTAGATCCCATCTTGTAAAATTGTAAGTAAGAAGCCTCTTACTCTAGTCTTTAGGACTTAATCTTTTGAATCGTTTTGGACCAAGAGCTCTTAAGCATAAGACTTCAAGAGACAGAGCTCTTACTCAAGAGCTAAGTGTCTCATATACAGAGCATGCGCTCTACTTCAGGGAAGATCAAGACTTAAGTGCCAAAAAGGTTAAGTGCTTAATACAGGAGCTTCACTCAAGACACAGAGCCTTTGCATAGTACATGTAGAGCCTCTGAGTCTCCTACTCCCATGAATTGTGCGCACGGTTCAGACTTTTCTGCAAGATCTCTAACAGATTCTAGAAGGCCTGACTAAGTCCGCTTCACTTTCCAAGGAACGTGAACGGTAACAACGCGAAACAAAAACTCAGAATTTCAAGCCACGATTCTAGGAGATTTTGTTTATGCTTAGTCATATATAAGGAGGCATCTTTCTCAGGTTACAAGTTACCTGAAAGTGCCAAATTAGACTATAGAGAAATCTTGTGAGAATACAATTAGATTGAGAGTTTTACTGTTAAATCTTCTCATCTAATAAAAGCTTCCGACTTATTCAAGTCTATCTTGCATTCGTATCTTATCTTGAATATTTGTTAGACCACTCCAGTTACACAGTTATTATTCTACTCATATTCTAATTTATCTGTACTTTCTGTAATTAGAGAAATCTGAGTTCCATTAATTTCTGGATTCAATGTTCTTATTTTGTGGTTTATTTGTTCTTGAATTTCACTCAACCTCAAGACTGAGGTAGAAAAAATTCATTCATCTCAAATTCCCGTTCAAGAAGAATAACCCACTACTTTTTGTCGCTCAAGGTGGGCTACCAAAGACGATGAAAATGGTCCCATGAATGATTTGAACGATTTGGTCAAAGAAGAATCGATAGTTCGAAGAAGGCCAGGTTGGTGTTATGTTTCTTGCGAAAAAAGTCCAACGGAATTCTATTATTGAACCGGTTTTATACTTTTAATTTTAAAAATAGGAAAAAAAGGATAAAAAGACAAAAATCATCCCTAACTTTATGGAGCTTGCTTAGGGGCCGTTTAAGCCAATGCTTATCCGGTAAGCAGTTACCAGTAAAAATCAACACTTCAACTTATTTTACCAGGTAAGATTATAGTCCATCAAAACAGTATCGTATGCAACAAGTTACCCGATAAGTGCATACCGGACAAGACTCTTCATCCTTATCATTGTTCTTACCAAGTAAGATTTCTGGCCCTTTCCATGTTATCCGATAAGATAAATAACTCAGTAAGTGCTTACCGGGTAAGCGTTTAGTAAATGGTCTCTTAATGTCGTTAGCTCCAAGGACTAAAAGCGAAACAAAATATAAACCATGACGATGAACAATAGTAATTTCAAAAATATAAGGACGAAAGTCGTTATAAACAACAAAGTAAATGGACGAAAATGGTAGTTTAATTGTATAACATTGGACGTGGGTAAAAGAGGAGATATGGGCTCGGGCGAGGGGGGTCACTGTACTTTCGGTAACCTTGTTTTACTCTTCACGCTAAAGACTTTCTGCCTATTTATATATATGTATATATATATCGATACCACAAAACCCATCACAGAAACAACTGATTACTTCCTCCGGTGAGGGTAAGGTACAAGTTTCATAAACATGGCGATGCTTGAGATTTCAGTTTTGGGTGTTTAAGAATTTAACCTTATCCCTGATATTTTTCTTTTTCTTGTTGCTGTTACCCATGGAAGAAGCTTCCTTCCTGATTTTTCGGTGATGGTTGCATCTTTTTTCCGGCAAGAAAATCGGCGTTTTCTAATTGTAATCCGTCGTTTTGTTCCGGTTGGACTCTCAGTTGTCGGTGATATATTCTGGGTCTCTTTTATCCCCGGTGATGATACCAAGTATCACCCACAATTCTATGTCTTTCAAGAACTTGGCACAAGGATAATTTGATGATTTGTGCAGGATATTTTGGATAATCTTTTACCGTAACTTCAGTTATCGGTTATTCTGCAATTAAATAACCAACTTATCGTTTGATTTTCCTTATTTGTTCAATTCCTAATCATTTGCAATTGGAACTGCTGTGTTTCATTTATTGAAATCATGGCACAATTGTTTAATTAGTTTTTTTTAATGTTGGTGCCTTCTTTTGGGCAAGATTTTTTAATCATCTGATTACGGGTATAACTCATTTTTGTGAATTTTCCTCTTCCTCTTCTTCTTCTTCATCATATTTTGATTTTCTTTTTCTTGTTTTGATCAACCCCTGCTCCATTTGAGCCTTTAAAATTATTTTTGCCCACCACCTGTTTGAAGAAATGTCAGTTTCATTGACTCGATTTTCTTGGTGGTATTGGTGTAATGGGAAAGAGAAAGAACCCACAATTTCTTCTGGATCTTCTTCTGATTCAATGAAATTGTCTTCTTCAAAGAAGAAAGGAACAAACTTAACATCATCATCATCATCAAAGAAGGTGAAGAAGAAATGGCAGAGTAGAGAAGAAAGGAAGAGACTAGTGGATAAAGAGTACGACGTAGTTTTGGTTCCATCGGATGGTGTGTGCTTATCGGAATCTGAAGAATCCTCCTATGATTCAGACTGGTCTATTGGGTGGATGGAGCCTCATGCCCATGAATTTTTGCAGAGTGATTCAGATGATGTTTCAGATAACAGTTTTGCAGTTTTGGTTCCTTGTTATAGAAATGATTGCAAAGCTTTTAAGATGGAGGAGGAGCCCAGTAATCAGTTGTTGTCTGTTCTTAGTAAACTCCCCACTGGTTTCCCTGCTGCTGCTGGTATCACTTGTTCTCTATGCAACTTTCATTCTTCCTTTCAGTTTCACTATTTGAATTCATGTTAAAATGTCCTAACAACTCTTTTTCATGACTTAAAGATTACAGACCAAATAAAGGACGATTTTACTTATGATACACAACTGTTTCATCTTATAATAAACTTAAATTTGATAAAGCACCGATGACGCAGTATAAATCCGATTTTATTGTGGTGATTTGATATACAATTCCCATTTGATAATTGGTTTGGCTGTATGTGACCATTGGGGAATCAAGATAATTTTAGAGGGTGTTTATTTTTTCCAAAAGAGAAAAGCACCTGAACACCACAGGAAGAAGAATAAAGATGGTAATCATTGTGGTTTGGTTTCCATTGATATTTTAAGTCTTGTAAACTGTCAATAACTTCATATTCTTTGTGCTATTTCTTTTGTTTATTTCAAGTGCTTCATTTATTGTTGGTTGTTGAAAGTTGTTTTTGATATTCTAATAATATTGTCATATTGGGAGTAGATTCAAGATCAAGATTGTCGTGGCTTCTGCATAATAGATTTAATTATTAAAAAAACTAATTAAAGTTGACGGTGAAAAGTATATGAGACTCATTAAGAAGTCGGGGGAGATTCTTTTTAGATCTTATTTTGCTGATGTGACGCTAATTCGGCAGTTAAAAGTGAAATTATAGGGTTCTTCAAAGTCGACCCATTGTGGATGCGTAATATCTCTTTGTTCGGATGAAATCCTTGCCATAATCGTCTAATTGTGTTTTATATGCAGAGGGCAACGAGTACATGGAACAGTGGCTTGCTTCTCTTCAGAACTTGTGAGCGGTTTTGGAAAGAGGGAATTTTGCGAGCGTGCTGAAGTGGGTGGTTTCTTGGTTAGTCAATCTGTTACTTGGTTTTATCGTCGGTTTGCTTGTCTATAGTATCTAAGATATGCCCGTAATCCGTAAGAATAAATAACGAAAATGGAATGGAATCAGCCTTAGAAAAGGAAACAGAACATTTTTTGATATTTTTATCTGAGAAGGCCAGAAATGGATGTTTATTCTTTTTTGCACATATTGATTCTGTAAATATGGTTTATGTGTAATATGAAGTTATAAAAACTTGTGTTCTTTTGATGATGCCTTTATGTATGAAAGTTGCAAGCTATTAATTCTCTTTACTTTTCTTTAAAATATAGAAGAAAATTTAAAATTTCGAAATTTTTTTTTACATTCTAACTTCAGCAGTTTTTCCATTTTAGAAATTTCAATATTAGTTATATTATTAAAATATTATATAAATATTTATTTATGTTATGATATAAAAAGCAAGTTACAAAGATTGTCCATCTAGATTTATGAAAACTGTGGTTTTCGTCACTTGACTTTCGAGAGTACATATGATGCTCACTCAATGGTTTCTATTTCGATGACGGTTTTTGTCCCTGGTCTCAACGGTCGTTCTCCTCTCCACGTGCCCCCTCGTGTAAGGGTATTTTGATGATTTTTTATTTTTATTGTGCAAATGTTTAAAGCATTGGACATTTCAAAAAAGAAAAAAACACCGCCCGTCATTATCGACCAGTGCACGTCATTTGGGGATTCGTTTATTACTTTAATAAGGTTATGTTTAGCAAACTAGCTGATGAAAAGTTAGCTGGTAGCTGATAAGCTAACTGATGGCTGATAACTAAGGTTCAAAATGACTTGAGGTTTGACGTAGCGTGGCGGCGAGGTCAAGCCTTAAGCCTTACATGCCATGGTGAGAACGTGACTTTTTTCAAGACGTGACATAAATCGGCAAATATGTATGTCATATATAGAATTATATATTTACATATATGGTTTCCATATTTTATATAATTAGATAATGATATTAAAAATGGTGCATTCATATTATAAGAAGAAAATCATAGAGTATTATTACAAAAATAGTTTTTTATTAAATATTTAAAATAGAACTTATAAAAGTAATTTCCAACTTAGTTTTAACCATGAGTCTATAACATTTATGAATTCGTGAAATTGTGGGTGATGTGATTTTATAAATCTAAAGTTAAAAGTGTAAAAAAAAAAAATCACATCTTACAAAAAATGTGCATCGTTGCGCGTCATGGCACACCTCAAGGCACTATGACGTGAGCTACGCCTTACAGAAACGCTATGAGTCATTTTGTAGCATATAACATGTAGACACATGCAAACATCCTTTTAAAGAAGAAACTGGTTTGCATTCCGCTTGAATCTCATCAGCTTACAGTAGATATTTCTTTTGTTAACCGTAGGGTCTAGGCCATACAATCGCACCTCTATCAATTTCATAGGACCTGTAAATAAAATAAAATGATCAAAATACCCTTATATTGAATTATTAGTTTAGTGGAAATTTGTTAGATGGACTAAAACTGAAAGGAAGTGACAAGCTTAATGGCTAAAAATTGCAATTAAAAATGAAACAAACTTGACAATCTCAAATGGCTAAAATTGCAATTATTTCAAAATAAGAATGTGACTTGATAATGAATAACAACCATCCGAACCAAAAGTATAATTTACTCCATTTTAAATAACTTGTTTACTAATAATTGTTTACGAGCGATATTCACTACTCTAACTTGCCTAATCGGATAACGTTTGTGGCAATTAAAATAGATTGTAGATAAGTGTTTATTGGATAAGAGTTTTTTTTTTTTCTTATTTACCTAATAAGATTATTGGTCTTTGTTATGTCTCTTATTAGGTAAGGTTTTCGAAACTTATCAAGCTTACCCAATAAGATAAGTGACATCTAGTAAGCATGGTTACCTAATAAGCATTTGTTAAATAGCCCCTTGATATTTATTTGTAAATTCTAAAATATTATAACAATGACACATTATATTTTACCTATGTGACATCAATTTTATGAGGTATAGTTTTAATCAGATCCATTATTGTTACCAAAACATGCTTCATTGATCCTGAAACGTGAAGTTTAAAAGTATATTCTTCAAAGTGATACTCAAACAAAGTAAATTCGATTTGTTCAAGGTTTTAAAAAGAATGCCATGACGTAAGACGTATTTTCATTGTTATGATAAGATCTATAATACCGTTTGTATAATGCGTAGCTTACGTCATGGTGCACTATGATGTGCGTTTTTTACAAGGCATGATTTTTTCTTCAATTTCTTTAAAAAAGTTTGGAAATTTACTTTTTATCTTTTGTGTTTTTATACATTTAACTGTAGATATTTCACTTTTACGTATTTACCTAATCACATCACTCATGGTTTAATGAATTCACAAACGCCATAGATTTATAGTTAAAATGAAGTTGTAGAATCCTTCTAAATTTTATTTTAAATATTTGATTATAGACTCTTTATATAATACTTAACATATTTCTTCTTCTAATAAATATAATTTCTTCTAATTTCATCATCTCGTTATGATAAATAGAAAAACAAACACATACGTGTGCACATAGAAATAATGTCTTTCTTAAAAATCCCATTCTTAGTTGTCATAACTGATTCCATCACCCTTTCTCCAACCATCTTAATTGTAACCGTTTTGTTTCTTATATGAAACCCAATAAATTATTTTTGTTTCCCACATGAAACGAAACCAATTATTTTAGTTTTGCATGTGACACAATAACAGATTTTGTTATATCTGTTTCATACTAGTGTTGTTTCACTTATGCAACAATATATATATATATATATATATATATATATTTTAAAACATTTCATATGTAATACCACCGAACGAGTTTATGAACTTGTTGGACTCACCCCTGGTGGTATTCTCGTTATTGTTTATGAATCCACCGCCATTGTTTATGAAACCACTGGATGAGTTTATGAATCCACTGCCATCGTTTATGATACCACTGGACGAGTTAAATAGATTTTCATGTTTTTGAGTTTCTTAAAGGCTTTGTCAATGGAGGATTTAAGTGATTTATAAGACGTGGTGCAGTAGATAAAAATCCATGAGATCGTCTCGCAGACGACGACAGTGAAAAAAGAGATTCCGACGACGGTTAGGCCGTCAGAGTACTTGAATATGGAGAAAAGAGATGCCATTGTTGACTGAATGATTGTGGCGGTGGAGAGAGTGTGATAGAGATAATCGTAAAGAGATAATAATCAAAAATAGATAATTCAGATTATTTATTAAAATTTCAAATTAAAATATTTAGAATCTTTTCCAAAATTACCATATCCTTAACTTTTTAATCAATTCAAATCCGAAATTCCCTTCAACCGTTGATAATTTCCTTAATTTTTTAATCAATTCAAATCCGAAACTCCCTTCAAGTGTTGATAAAAGAGGACATTTTAAATAGGTTTATAAGGTTTGCAATCTTCGGATGATTTACAAATGATTATCCCTCTACATATTATATACATACATATATATATAGACTTGGGATCATGTGAGACCAATGAGACCCGTGAGACCAATGAGACCTGTAAGACCAATTCTCAACCCTTGGATTAGATCTATAATCGTCAGATTTGAACATTCATAAACGCCACAAGACTTCTCAATAATTACAAAATTACCACCGTACAACTTTAAACCATTAGATCATTAGCTTATAAAGTTGATCAATGAACATAAATTGGTCTTACGGGTCTCACGAAAAAGTTTTGGTCTCACATGAACCCAACGCTATATATATATATTTAAAAACCGTCCTAGAAAAATGGAATCATATGGTGGGCCACAATCCTTCAACTAATCAATAAAAGAATAAGCCTATTTAGATGAATTATTAATACAGTGAATCACAAATCCAATCAATACATGAGGCAAAAAAGACGGATCACATGTGTTGGGCAATCTTCATAATTATAAATTAAACCAACTTCCTAAATGATGTGAGATGAGTCAAATCTCAAGGTTTAGGAGCCCATGTCGTGAATTATAGCATATATATATATATAGATGAGTTTAAAGTACAAATCATGTAGTTGTTATAAAACTCTATAAATCAATTTTAAATGTATGTGTAAATAATCAAGGACATGGATTAAATCGGTTTCTAATTTTACTTTTAATTGCATCTTTAATTAATTTGATAATTGTCCCTAAATTCATAATCAAGAATTGAGATTAGGTTTGTAGGGTTCGTAACAGTTACATAGTTTAAATTTAAAACTCTCTATCTCTCTTTCTCTCTCTCTATATATATAAAAGAAAGTTCGGTATAAATTAATAAAATATGAAGTAATAAAATATATAGTAAAAAACCTAAGTATACAATTTGATATAATAACTAAAGTAACAAAATATAAATTGGTTTGTTATTTATTCTATTTTTTTGTTGGTATATTTGTATTGGGTACAATGATGAAATATGTTGTTACACAAATTTGGTAAAAGAATTTCCATCTTTCGGACGAGTGGATCTTATTAATTATTAAATCATATATTGTGATACTTGATATTTTCAATGAGTTGCAAGGTTTTACAATCTTCTAATATAAAAAATTGAAGAATTTAGCGGTCGTTTACCGACTCTTATCGGGTAAGTGTTGTCCGAGTAAGAATGTTGACCCAAGTAAGTGTTGTCCCGGGTAAGAGTGTTTATCAAATGTTGTTGGTCCGGTTAGGGTCTACAAGATGTGTATAACAGTTTGTAGAAGTGGGGGGGAGGGGGGAAGATGAATACAAACACAATAAACTTTTAAAATTTAAAATATATATTGATAAAGAAAGATCAATACAAATTTTACAAGATTGTTTGCGGAAAGATAAGATAAAATAACCTATCTAAACAATCTAAGTTACACACTAGTTCTTAGCAAATAAAGAAAAGACTTGTTGTAAAAGACTTAGAAGGATGTTAGTTCTTTCTTGATAAAAACTATTTAGAATACTAAAAAGAGATTCTAACTTGCTTTTGAATATAAGCGTATTGTGTTCTTAGATGTGTGTTCTTTTACTTATGAACATAAATTAGGGTTCAAGAGTAAGTATTAGTATCTCTGCATGGAGATAGAACACGTCTATTTATACCCATTGCATTAAATGCACATTTAATGCAACGTAGTAGGGTTTGAACACATGTCAAGCCTTTAGAGAAAGACTTGTCCTTTGCAACAGCGCATAGTACAAAAGCCTATTCATGAGTAGA